TCTGCACTCTATTCAAGCGTCAGTGTCTAAAATTGTAATCAAATCTGTCTCTACCGTCTAGTAGGCTACACATATTTCGTGGAATATTTTCTTGAAAAGCGTTTCTTTAAGCAAGAACCCAGCATTGCAATCAGAAATTCAATTATATAATTCACATACACAGCAGCTGACTGCTGATTTCATCTCTTGATTTGACGGATCTACAGCAAATTATTCCGTTTCCTTTCGTTTCTAGCCTCATCTTCCTGGATTTGTTAAAACCCAACTACCACGATGCAAAACAGGCTTAAGCATGAAGCGTTTCGTTTTCCAAAGAATCCGTTGGTTTCGTTAGTTGATTTGGCCTGGAGGCTAACACATTTTTTCGTCTGCGCATGTCTGTATGCGTTTCTGAGACTGTGCATGTGCATGCGCATGCGCATGCGCAGCAATCAACTTTTTTTATTTTTGAAGGTGAAAAACATTTTACAATTTCTAGTTTCTCTTCCTTTCAATTGCATTCCCCTTCCAGTATTTAATTGTTCGACTATATTTTCGCTTTTTTTTATCACATCTTTTACTTTGTCTTCTATTTTTATCTTTCTTTTTCTGAGTGACTTAATTTCTGTCTGCTAATTTAAGATTCATTACAACATTTTATATATTCACATATACGTACTTTTAAAAGATATTTAAAAACATTTATTCACCTAATTCAAGGCCCGAGGATCACGGAAGGTAGAGAGGTACTGTTGTAGCATACCTACAGACGATAATAGGTATGTCCTCATTCACATAAATACAATAGTAAATGCTATATGTTAGTCTAGAATTCGAGATTCGTCTCCAGCTGTGCTGGTCAAACTCTCTGCCTCTGGGCAGAGAGAATCCCCAAACGAGGCTATGTCGAAGGGCAGAGTCTCGTTTCGGGAAACGGCTACCCGACACCATTTTATACAGGGTCTACGGAGAGTTTTTGGCCGAGACTACGGGCTTGGATACCCACATTAAATTGGCCTTGTACCACATATCTACTGACCACGTGGGGCAGCTAGTAGATATCCTGAAGTTGGAGATTCATTGTGGAATTCACTTGACCCATTTCCAGCTGTTGACTTCTTCTACCCACTGATGGCAAATCTTGTATGCGTTGTTCTTGTCTTAACAAGTAAAAGGGAGGGAACGAGATGTCAACCTAGTAGCACGCTTAAATTCATCCTGTTTGGGGACCAGTGAGAGTAGCACATCAGATTAGTTGCCATGAAAATATTTCTAGAAGGCGAGAAAAACCTTCTGGTGCGACACAGAGAACCAACTTTCTTAAGCCGTTGATTCAATGTAGTTGTTCCACCTCAGGTCAGTGGGAAGCGTGAGACCAAGCAGGCGCAAAGAGGTGCTCTCGTGGAGTTGGGCATCAGCCATTCTGATAGGAGGCAGGGAGGGCTCTCTATGGTGGGTAAATGAGAGCCTTAGTCAATCGCAGATTGGAAGTCGTTTTTGAGACCAACGCCCAGGTTTAACTTTGTCAGCAATGCCGAATTTAGTGTTGAGGAAAGGAGTAAATAGTATTGTCGTCTACATAGATGCCTACTTTTTTTTTTGAACATTTTATTAACAAGATGCAATAATAAATTAGAATGTAAATTACAACAAATAAGAAGGGCCTCATTTTTAGAATAAAATAACACCGGTATAATAATGTGTTTATATCTGAGTATTTAGAATGTGTACCCCTCTCCAAGATTATGTAGACGAAAAACTTAAATATAAACATGAACAGAGAAAATTGATCTGTGTGGAAGAAAATAGGAAATGGTGGTTGTAAGGCGTTCAAGCAAAAGAGGATTGATCGGAAAGAATCATACAAAGTAGGACATGAACTCAAGCCTTAGCATACATGCAACTCCTGTAGTAGGGAATTTTTTAAACCAAAGCAGAACGTGCTATTCCTCTGAGATCTCATGACGATAAACTATTCCAAGTAGACGTCGTTCACAATTATCTACAAATATGATATTTATGTCAGATTTCTGAAAAAGAATGTCAGTCATTAGTGGGTCTAAGTAGATTTGATTTGAGGGATTCGTTTTTACGGTTTATCAACCCTTTGCAGGTTATTTAAAGCCAATAAATATTTTTAGAATGTAAGAATTTTTTGTAGATAATAATGATTTAGGCATACAAAAATGCGATTTGCAGGTCGGGAACACTAGAATCAAACAGATTTGGCAGTTTAAATATCTGGGAAGCGTTCTGACAGAGAGAGGTAAATGCAACCGTAGACGTATTGGGATGGCCAAGGACGCATCCTAAAAGATGGGTAGACTATTGCAAGACAGGGGGATTTCTTTGGTAACAAAGAAAAAAATGCTGAGCTGTTACGTGACATCTGTCCTGCTCTAGGGCAGCCAATGTTGAACGATTTCCTCAAAAATGAAGAAGAGACTCAAGGTGATGGAGATGTGGTTCTACAGAAGGATGCTATGGATATCATGAACCGAGCGTGTGAGCAACGATGAGGTCTCAGGGGGGATGCAAACAACGAGAAGGTTTAAACACCAGGAAGAGGCAGCTGAAGTTCCTGGGACACGTAATGAGGAAAGAGGTCTTAGAAAATCTGATACTCACGGGTCGAATAGAAGGAAAGAGAGACAAGGGAAACAATACATGACATACCTATCGGCTTTAAGCAAGTAGATAACAGAATGTGGTCTGGGGGAGGAAGCAGCGGGAAAGAACTTGTTGAGAGCTGCAAGAAATAGAAGGAGGTGGAGAGCCATGGTCGCCTACATTCTGAAAGGAAACGTCACATATGAAGAAAAGATACAAGTTAATCTATATCTAGCGGGAGAAGACGTGGATTCACATCTTTCTTAAGGGTATTAGCGTGTATGTAAAGATAACAGACCCAGATGGAATTGGAACTCGACGCTCCGAGTAACAATTCAGGGTCATTATATATTACACCGCCTGTCCATATAGGCTTACATCATCTGATCTAGGTACTGTCTAGTCTCGACGTTGCCTAACTTAGGTCATCGTAAGGGAACCGCAGTTGCAGCGTGATATCCCCTAAGCCTGATAGCGGCCAGAAGACTCAAATAAGAGTCTGTAAGAACCGAATAAATCCTAATCCTAAGACAATGCGTGTTTCGTTTGACATATAAGCATATAAGATACGTGTAAAACTGAAATCCTTCACGCAGATAGTTAACTTCCCCACGCCTTTTGCCCTCAACCTGGTAGGTAAGGCCTCCCTTCTCGATCTGTGTTTTACCTCCATCCCCGAATCTTGTAGCGCCACGCAGCTCTGCCCTTTTGGCAACTCCGATCAACCTGTAGTATCTGTTAACATTTCCTTCAACTCCACATCCCCCCCCCCGCAAAGAACCTCCCATCACTAGAACCTCGTTCTACTATCAACGAGCGGATTGGGACTCGTTCCGTGACATCCTCCGCGATGTCCCCTGGGATGTTGCCTTTACACTTCCTGTCCAAGAATGTGCTTCTGAGGTCTCATCCTGGGTTAAAGCTGGAATCGACGCTTTCATCCCCTCAAGGAAATTTAAGGTCAAGTCGCACTCCTCCCTTTGGTTCTCCGCTGCTTGCTCAGCTGCCATTGCCCATAGGAACCACTTCTTTCACCTATTTAAGAAAGAAAAAAAAAACGGAGAGAAAAAAGAATAACCGCTAAATTTGAAGAGATGACCTTTTCAACCTAGAATTTCTTTTTCTTAGCATCACCTAAAGACACATGTTCCTTGTTTTGCGATTAACATTGTGTTCAGGTCCGGTTAAAAAAAAAAATGTCTACACGTAGCAATAGATGCGCGTCTGAGCGCGTGTTTTGTATATTTTTTCCTTTTACCCCTCACTCTTACAATTTCTTTATTTTTTTCCCAAACAGTTAATGGATTTATATCTAATCTGACATATTATTACATCGAAGGTTATTTTTAGTGGATATGCATTCAAAAGCACACCGAATAAAACGAAAGGGGACGCAAGTTCGAATCCTGCGCCAGAACATTTTCTTAATTTAAGTTTTCTCGAGTGTGCCTACAATGCTTAAAATTTAAAAATATGGGCGTCTATTTAAAACAGGACTATCCACCTAAACATTTCAAAGTTATACACACACACACACACACACACACACATATATATATATATATATATATATATATATATATGTGTGTGTGTGTGTGTGCACGCGCGTATATGATGCGATGGGTAAATTGTCGCCCATGCGTGCTGTTTGTATTTGATTTTGTCGACTGCACAGTATCGTAGATACAGTCGGAGACCGATCTGTGAGAATAAGAGCTTCATGACGCAATACACTCCGCCATAAATGTGAAAACATCATGATGTGCTGCTTGGCAATGGGCCATAAGCTCCAATACCTACATCGGAGTGTTTGCGTGTCAATCTGAGGACAGAATTAAGGATTGGTAAAGAGTTGGATGAGTCTAATGGTGATTACGAAGGCACGGCAGCTCCGAAAACTCACACATGACTGTGTTCTCCTGCTTGTGCGGCGTGACGCAGAGTCCTGTTGCCAGACAAAGATTCATCCCACAGCCACCTCTTGACCCAGGGTAGCACTACCATCTCTGAGGCCCTCACCAACAAATTCGGGACTTCTTTTCTCATCAGAATCGCACATAACCTATTAAATCTGGCTATCTAACTACCCAGAATGCAACGCGGCGCAGATGAGTGAGCGGCTAACACAACTCGTCGTAACACCAAAGATGAACTGAAGGCAAGAATTATGCTAGGATTCAGCAACTTAAGGAGACCGTCTACAAGAGTTGCAAGAGATTCCGAAGTCGTCTGGAATCCGTGGTTGAATCCAATGATGATTTTATTGAATAAATTTACTCTTTAGTATTTCAAGATGTTTTTGCGTAATTTTGATAAATATATCTATTAAAATGAGATGTCAGTGTCATTTTCAATTGTACGTAAGTTAGTCGACAATTTATCCATCGTATCGTGTAGAAAGACACACACACACATATATAAGAAGGAGAAGGAGAGAGAGAGAGAGAGAGAGAGAGAGAGAGAGAGAGACCGATATAGATTGATCTCTTTAAAATCGACTTTAAAAACATTCAAATGCGTTTAAAATTCCAGTCTTTGAAAGATTTTTAGCATTACCGTTTTACTCTAAAATCGCTCTTCAGATAACAGGACAGTCAATCTAACATCGACTTTATCGTCAGAGCGTCAATAATACCGAAGAGTGTCTTAAGAACAAAATTTTAAACGGCTTTGAAGGTTTTTAAAATGATTTTAAAAATAGAATCAACAATTATCTATCCTCCTTATGCTCATAATCGTCCCTTTGTAACACCTCCTTTTTAGTTCATATCACACGTCTCGTCGCCATTTTAGCAGTAAAACTCTACTTCGAGTGGCTCTTGTGGCTTGTGTTGAATTTAGTATTAAAGATACTATTAAAGAGAAAAAATAACCTAACGTTCTTCTTCGTTGGTTTCAGTTTGATTTTAGTTTATCTCTACATTTAGTGACTAACCTGACTAGTAGAAGGTGGAATTTTCGTATTAAATAAAAAAAACTAAAACTAAAAAAACAAAACAAAAAAAAAACTGATTAATAAATGATTTTGATTCTTCTTTCATAATGATATCATTTCTCATTGGTTCCGGCTTCGTTTGAGCTTGAGTTTAGTTTATTTCAAAGCTGGTTCTATACACTGACGATCAGCAAACAAATTACAAGGAGACGTGTTTGCATTACGTATCGTTTTGGTTTTAATCCAAAGCTCACGTAAGAGATGAGAGAAATAAAAACATGGATGCAGAAAAGCGTTCAACACCTAAGAAGCGAAACATATTCTTTCAATCGGAATTAAAAGTAAACATAAACCGAGTGAAATGCTGAAAGGGAAAGAATTGTTAGCCACCAAAAAAAAAAAAAATGGACGACAAATACGAAATGGAAATAAATAAACAAATATAAATGCAGATTATTGGGAAAGACAAACGAATGTGACAATGGGAAAGGAGCGCCTGGATTCGCGTTTCTGAAGAGAATTTCCGTTGTTTCATTGTGACAAAACAAAGCGAACACAGGTGTCACATTCACACCAATAGAGAATCTGTTGTAGAATTTACCAAAAACATTGCACCTCCGGGGAAATTGTAAATTCTTCAAATTCTTCATTCAAGGCATGAAAAAAGTACTTTTAATGGATATAAAAAATAAATCAAAGGTAAATTGAGGCAAAGGAAAAATCCTGCTATAGTTATCTATCTATCTATCTATCTATCTATCTATCTATCTATCTATCTATCTATCTATCTATCAGTGTCTTTTGACATATCTATCTAGGTTTTTTGATCTATCTATCTATCTATCTATCTATCTATCTATCTATCTATCTATCAATGTCTTTTGACATATCTATCTAGTTTTTTTATCTATCTATCTATCTATCTATCTATCTATCTATCTATGTCTTTAGATAGATCTATCTATCTATCTATCTATCTATCTATCTATCTATGTCTTTAGACAGATCTATCTATCTATCTATCTATCTATCTATCTATCTATCTATCTATCTATCTATCTATCTAACCGAAAACTTACATCAGTAAGTTCGAATCATACACATAGGTATGTATCCCACCAAACTGTCGGTGTGATACGCACCAATGTACTGAATTATATTTATATATACATATATATATATATATATATATATATATATATTACGTGTGTCTTATTTTGGTTATATTTTGATGAATCTTATTTGTACAGTATATGTTTTCATAAAATAAATTTTTTATCTCAATGAAATATTTATGGAAAATTGAATATCTCCAAAATTAATAAAATGGCCTAAAATTCAACAAATCGTTAAAAAGAAATATATATATTTAAAACAAAGTTACTACTGAAAGATATATAACGTGTATTTTTTACCATAAATGCGCTTACCCAACATTTCAATTAAAATACTTTTAAAATGATGTTTAAACATGGGTTCGATTACCATCAAATGATATTTATCAAATGCTATCTATCTATCTATCTATCTATCTATCTATCTATCTATCTATCTAACTGAAGTTACATCAGTAAGTCCAGAGTTAGTGATAGGAAAAGTATTTATCTTGCACAATATGTACGTTTAGTGAAATTAGATTATTAAAGTTTCTGTTCATAGTTGCGTATCACACCGCAACCTTATATATATATATATATATATATATATATATATATATATATATATATATATATATATAACGAAGGTCTTATTTTGATTATATTAAAATGACAGCTGATTTGTACAGCGTATCTTTTCATAAAATGCATTTTTTTGTCTTTATGAAATATTTATGGAAAATTGAATATCTCGAAATTAATAAAATGACTTAAAAATTTTAAGAAAATAGATAAAAGAAAATATATATATATATATATATATATATATATATATATATATATATATATATATATATATATATATATATATATATAGTTATGGTGTCCACCCTGTTTTATATAAGTGGACTCGACCAAAGTGTTACTTGTACTGCTGCCGTTAAATACCCAGACTCAGAATATACAGACATTGTAGACTCTAAGGAAGTCCTGCTTTGAGACTATATATATATATATATATATATATATATATATATATATATATATATATATATATATATATATATATATATATAATTGCCACTAACCGCCTTCCTGGATTTACTAACAGTATTACCCTTTGTATTATTGTGTAAATACATTTTATTTCTTATATATAATTCTTGCGTTTGTCATTCATTGGAGACCGAATTCCATCTCGGAATTCACAACATATATATAAAAAACAAAGTTACTATCTAAAGATATATAAAGTGTATAGTTTAACAAAAATGCCCTTACCCAATATTTCAATAAAAAAAACATATTTCTAAAATGAAGTTTAAACATGGGGACGCTTACCATCAAATGTAACTTAAAGTGTATGGCTTTCGGAAAATGCTCATACCCAACATTTCAATGCGACCTATTATTTGTGATATTCGCAGTACTCCTCCCTAATTAGGATTGGCTAGTTTTTATTAAGGTTTATCAAATCTTTGTGGTTCAATTAAAGCCAAAACATATTGGAGATTGTGGGAATAATTATTCTTTTTCTTATTTACGCTTAATACTGTGTTAACAATATTCATCAGAATAACAATTATTTTTCCAGATACAAATCCTACTAATTAACTCATAGCTGGAGAGAGGAGAAGATGGATTCATACCTTTCAAAAGGTATTTGTGTGTAAAAGCATATAATGAACCCGAATGAACTTTGCGATCCAAAATTCGGATTTTAGAAAATATTACTTTAGACAGGGTGCGGCAGAAATACATCCCACATGTTAGCAAAAAGACCAAAGTCACTGTTGTCTAAACAAAGGGATACGGTTTCAATTTACTTGGTTTTAAAAAATGACATCGTCCAAATTGTGACCTCAATTCCTCATATACTGCTGGTGGCGATTTCTAAAGTTTTCCATCACCCAACGAGTTTGAGCGCTTCGAGGTTGTTCACGTGGATTTGTTTTTAACGCTGAACATGTGGCCCTCAAACGTTCAACCCACAGAATAACAACGATTTTATCTATTTCAGTCACTTCATAGATATTTTAGTCATATCTATCTATCTATCTATCTATCTATCTATCTAGCTATCTATCTATCTGTTGTGGTACGATCCACCTAATTTACATAGAGGAGTACCGACCATATAAATATGGGTTGGTACCGGGAAGACGAAGGAAGAATAACAAGAGATCCAATCCAGATACTCTGCCCAACTGCGATTAAGTCAACCCATTCTACAGGAACGGTCTTCCCAAGAATATACCAAAACTAACTGTAAATATTGTGTATCTTTTCCTTGTTTCAATACATTTTGTTTACGTACATTTTGTGTTGTATTATTATTATTCCATGCTTATCCAAGTTTCAACACTATCTATCTATCTATCTATCTATCTATCTATCTCTTTTGACAGATCTATCTATCTATCTATCTATCTATCTATCTATCTATCTATCTATCTATCTTATACGTCGGAATTCTCTTTCTATAGTTCCACTCTTTAAGAACTCAGGCAAACCGTCTGATCTTCGTAGATATCGGCCTATTAGACGTCTTGGTAAAGTAAAGGGTGTTTCATTAAGACGGATTATATTTAAGGGTGTTTCATTAGGACGGAACAAAGTCAGTAGTAAATAAATGACTGAAAATCTATTTATTTCTCTATTAGATAATGTAATTTAATTCATGGCAATTATGTGTGGAAAATATTATCGCCCAAATGTCTGCCAAATCTGAAAGAATAAGAAAAAAATCATTAGACGCTTAAAATTAATTCACATTAAAATCGGTTCAAGTTATTGGAAACTCGTTTACTAAAGGCTCAAATTAACTCTAATTTGGTTAAGCATCTCATCACTCAATGACGTCTTTTAAATAAGCAATATGGATTTCTTTTCTCTATGTAACTATTATTGCTGAAAGTGTCTATCCAGCTTTAGATAAGAATTCTGAAAGTCTTCTTCGCAATTTGTAGTGTTATAGTATTTTCTGGACGGATTTCCTTTAACTGATTTAATCTTTCTTATAAAATCGCAATTGTTGAAAGTTGTCTTGTATGGCCACGCTTCCAGATCTTTTTGTCATTAATGTAGCTGTTCGCCCAGGGCTCTATCCGTGGACGTATACTTACATACATTACCTTTCTAATGTTATGAGTTATCAACACGGTATCTATGCTGATAATACAACTATACTCCCGAGAACAAATTGGCAGCTGGTCTAAGAAATGACCTATAATCAGTTGTTAAATGCGGCAAAGAAATGTCGTGATAATTCCCTGAAATTACTTCTGTAATTCCTTCATTTTGACATCTTTACTTCGTAGCTAATAATCCAGCATTCTACCATCTTGCCATTAAGAATTAAGTCTCTATTCTCACTTTCCTTCATAACTTGTCTTCGGGGTTCAATAAATTTCTTTCTCCTTCTTCTATCAAGACCTCTTCATTATTGTTATGGGATCTTACCCGTAATAATAATAATGGACTATTCCATACTTAATAAATACTGCGCCTCAGGAGTAGGCAAGGAGTCAGTTGGAGTCAGTTGAGTCAGTCGTTCACCTCTGAACTGACTGTTCGGTTCAACTCTCTTCCTACGGGCGAGAGGAACCCGAAGGAGGCTACGCCGAAGGGCGGAGTCTCCTTCGGGGAGGTAAAACCGGCCCTGAACCCGTTTATACGGGTTCAAATTGGGCTATTTTTTGGCCGAGCCTAATGGCTTGGAAATGCCCACGTTAAAAAGGCCTTGTGCCACATGACGCCCTCGTGGGGGGACGACTAAATATAGTCAGTTGGAGTCAGTTGAGTCAGTCGTTCACCTCTGAACTGACTGTTCGGTTCAACTCTCTTCCTACGGGCGAGAGGAACCCGAAGGAGGCTACGCCGAAGGGCGGAGTCTCCTTCGGGGAGGTAAATCGGCCCTGAACCCGTTTATACGGGTTCAAATGGGCTATTTTTTTGCCGAGCCTAATGGCTCGGGAATGCCCACGTTAAAAAGGCCTTGTGCCACATGACACCCTCGTGGGGGGGTGACTGAATATTGTCAGTTGGAGTCAGTAGTTCAAGTCGAGTCAGTAGTTCAAATCGAGTCAAGAGTTGAGTCAGAGGCAGTCCGAAACAGAGTGGCGTTCAGACAATTACTACAAGACATTGGAATAGTGATACTGGTCGAGACTACATTGTTATCTCTACTAAACCTGATTATTCGTACTAACACTTTCTACTTCTCTGTATATATTCCTGTTTGTAATATATCTGTGTTATTCCATACCTGTGTTCGAGTTCTTCTTTATTGGTTCTACCTTGGACTATCACCGTGGTACAAGGAACCAGACCATAACACTTAATACTGCGCCTCAGGAGTCAGTAGTTCAAGTGAGTCAGTAGTTCAAGTCGAGTCAGTAGTTCAAGTCGAGTCAAGAGTCGAGTCAGAGTCAGTCCGAAACAGAGTCGCGTTCAGACAATTACTGCAAGACATTGGAATAGTGATACTGGTCGAGACTACATTGTTCTCTCTACTAAACCTGATTGTTCATACTAACACTTCTACTTCTCTGTATATATTCCTGTTTGTAATATATTTGTGTTATTCCATACCTGTGTTCGAGTTCTTCTTTATTGGTTCTACCTTGGACTATCACCGTGGTACAAGGAACCGGACCATAACACTTATATACTAATTTTCTCATATACAGCATGCGACAGAAATAGTTCCCACATTTTAAGATTTGACAAAAAGACAAATGTAACTAATTAAAAAAATATTTCCCTATTGTTTGAACAAACGTCTACATTTTTTTCTTTTTTCATTTGTTTCGAAAAACGACATACTCCAAATGGTGGCCTTGATTCGCCATACAATATTTTAGACGATTTGTAATGTTTTCCCTCACCAGGAAGCCCGAGTTTTTCGAAGTCTTGCAAGTGGCTTTCTTTTAAGTATTGAATCTGTGACCATAAACTTTTCGACCCATAGCAGTAACGATTTTCTCTCCGGAACAGAATCATTGCAACGTAACATGAAATGATCAGGAAAAGCTGTTGCAGTTACATATTCTGCAGTATTTCTTATCAAATCGCAGTTGTTGAAAGTTGTCTTGAATGGCTACTTCTCCAGATCTTTTTGCATTAATGTAGTTGTTCCCCTAGGACTCTATCCTTGGGCGTAGCTTGTTCCTATTTTACATAAATTACCTTTCTAATGTTATCGGTTATCAACCCGGTATCTATGCTGATAATACAACTATTTACTCGTGAGATCAAATGGGAAGCTGATCTAAGAAATGACCCACAATCAGTTGTTAACTGGGGCAAGAATGTCGTAATAATCTGAACGTCGGCAAAGCGAAACTGTTTCTTTTTAATCGTGTGCTATTATTTTTTTTTATTACCCTTTTTATCTTCATTATTTCACCGTTGTTTAAACAAAGGGATATTGTTTTTATTTTTTTGGTTTTAAAACATGACATCGTCCATATGGTGACCTCTGTTCGTCATAAACTGTTGTAGGCCGATTTCTAAAGTTTTCCATCACCCAACGAGTTTGAGCGTTTCGAAAACTTCCAGGTGGCGTTGTTTAAATGCTGAATCCGTGGCTCTAAAAACGATGAACCCATAGAATAACAACGGTTTTATCTCTCTATCTCAGTCACTTCATAGTTATTTTATTCATATCTATCTATCTATCTATCTATCTATCTATCTATCTATCTATGTCTTTTGGCAGATCTATCTAGGTATCTATGTCTTTAGACAGATCTATCTATCAATCTGTCTATCCATCTATCTATCTATCTATGTCTTTTGGCAGATCTACCTATGTATCTATGTCTTTTGACAGATCTATCTATCTATCTATCTATCTATCTATCTATCTATGTCTTTTGGCAGATCTATCTAGGTATCTATGTCTTTTGACAGATCTATCTATCTATCTATCTATCTATCTATCTATCGATGCCGTTTGGCAGATCTATCTATGTATCTATGTCTTTTGACAGATCTATCTATCTATCTATCTATGTCTTTTGGCAGATCTATCTAGGTATCTATGTCTTTTGACAGATCTATCTATCTATCTATCTATCTATCTATCGATGTCGTTTGGCAGATCTATTTATGTATCTATGTCTTTTGACAGATCTATCTATCTATCTATCTATCTATCTATCTATCTATCTATCTATGTCTTTTGGTAGATCTATCTAGGTATCTATGTCTTTTGACAGATCTATCTATCTATCTATCTATCTATCTATCTATCTATCTATCGATGTCGTTTGGCAGATCTATCTATGTATCTATGTCTTTTGACAGATCTATCTATCTATCTATCTATCTATCTATCTATCTATCTATCTATCTATGTCGTTTGGCAGATCTATCTATGTATCTATGTCTTTTGAGAGATCTATCTATCTATCTATGTCTTTTGGCAGATCTATCTAGGTATCTATGTCTTTTGACAGATCTATCTATCTATCTATCTATCGATGTCGTTTGGCAGATCTATCTAGGTATCTATGTCTTTTGACAGATCTATCTATCTATCTATCTATCTATCTATCTATCTATCTATCTATCTATGTCTTTTGGCAGATCTAACTATTTATCTATGTCTTTTGACAGATCTATCTATCTATCTATCTATCTATCTATGTCTTTTGGCAGATCTATCTATGTATCTATGACTTTTGACAGATCTATCTATCTATCTATCTATCTATCTATCTATCTATCTATCTATCTATGTCTTTTGGCAGATCTATCTAGGTATCTATGTCTTTTGACAGATCTATCTATCTATCTATCTATCTATCTATGTCTTTTGGCAGATCTATCTAGGTATCTATGTCTTTTGACAGATCTATCTATCTATCTATCGATGTCGTTTGGCAGATCTATCTATGTATCTATGTCTTTTGTCAGATCTATCTATCTATCTATGTCTTTTGGCAGATCTACCTATTTATCTATGTCTTTTAACAGATCTATCTATCTATCTATCTATCTATCTATGTCGTTTGGCAGATCTATCTATGTATCTATGTCTTTTGACAGATCTATCTATCTATCTATCTATTTATCTATCTCTGTCTTTTGGCAGATCTATGTATCTATAACTTTTGACAGATCTATCTATCTATCTATCTATCTATGTGTTTTGGCAGATCTATCTATCTATCTATCTATCTATCTATCTATCTATGTCTTTTGACAGATCTATCTATCTATCTATCTATCTATCTATCTATCTATCTATCTATCTCTTTTTGGCAGATCTATCTATCCATCTATCTATCTATCTATCTATCTACAATCAGTTGTTAACAGGGGTATAGAATGCCGTCATAATTTGAACGTCTCTAAAACGAAACTGCTTCCATTTAATGGTGTGCTATTATTTTTTTACCCTTTTTATCTTCATTATTTCACCGTTGTTTAAACAAAAGGATATAGCTTTTATTCACTTGGTTTTTAAACCATAACATTGTCCATATGGTGACCTATGTTTGTCATATACGATTGTAAGCGATTTCGAAAGATTTCCGTCACCCGAAGAGTACAAGCGCTTCGATGTCTTTCAGGTGGTTTTATTCTAAATGCGGAACCTCTGGCCCTAAAAACTTTCAACCCGTAGCAGTATGGATTTTCTATCCGGAAAAGCCTCATTCTGACTTAACATGAAATGAGCACAAAAGCTCTTTGTGTTACTTTGTGATGTCAACAAATACTCGTTGTCACTTTCGTTTATTGTAGTAGAGACATTGTAATTGCAGATACAAAAATAGTACGCCGACTAATAATGCTGGTGTCAGACGCCTTCGAATAACATTCGCACAAATGGTTCTTGCTCGAGAATACTCGCTCGAATAGTAATCCGTATAGAGAAATAGTATAGTGAATAGAGCAGAGAACAGCGGTCCCTAAAGTAATAGGGGATAGAATAGTAATAGCGATCTGAATGATAATAGAGGATAGAATAGAAATAGCGATCCGAATAGTAATAGAGGATAGAGTAGAAATGGCGATCCGAATAATAATAGAGAATAGAGTAGAAATGGCGATCTGAATAGTAATAGAGGATAGAGTAGAAATAGCGATCCGAATAGTAATAGACGATAGGGTAGAAATGGCGATCCTAATGGTAATAGAGGGTAGAGTAGAAATAGCGATCCGCATAGAAATAGAGGATAGAGTAGAAATAGCGATCCGAATAGTAATAGAGGATAAAGTAGAAATAGCGATCCGAATAGTAATAGAGGATAGAGTAGAAATGGCGATCCGAATAGTAATAGAGGATAGAGTAGAAATAGCGATCCGAATAGTAATAGAGGATAGAATAGATATAGCGATCCGAATAGTAATAGAAGATAGAGTAGAAATGGCGATCCTAATGGTAATAGAGGATAGAGGAGAAATAGTGATCCGAATAGTAATAGAGGATGGAGTAGAAATAGCGATCCGAATAGTAATAGAGTAGAAATGTCGATCTGAATAGTAATAAAGGATAGAGTAGAAATGTCGATCTGAATAGTATTAGAGGATAGAGTAGAAATAGCGATCCGAATAGTAATAGAGGATAGAGTAGAAATGGCGATCCGAATAGTAATTGAGGATAGAGTAGAAATGGCGATCCTAATAGTAATAGAGGATAGAGTAGAAATAGAGATCCGAATAGTAATTGAGGATAGAGTAGAAATGGCGAACTGAATAGTAATAGAGGATAGAGTAGAAATGGCGATCCGAATAGTAATAGAGGATAGAGTAGAAATAGCGATCCGAATAGTAATAGAGGATAGAGTAGAAATAGCGATCCGAATAGTAATAGAGGATAGAGTAGAAATAGCGATCCGAATAGTAATAGAGGATAGAGTAGAAATAGCGATCCGAATAGTAATAGAGGATAGAGTAGAAATGGCGATCCGAATAGTAATTGAGGATAGAGTAGAAATGGCGATCCTAATAGTAATAGAGGATAGAGTAGAAATGGCGAACTGAATAGTAATAGAGGATAGAGTAGAAATGGCGATCCGAATAGTAATTGAGGATAGAGTAGAAATGGCGATCCGAATAGTAATAGAGGATGAAGAAATGGATCCGAATAGTAATTGAGGATAGAGTAAAATGGCGAACTGAATAGTAATAGAGGATAGAGTAGAAATGGCGATCCGAATAGTAATAGAGGATAGAGTAGAAATAGCGATCCGAATAGTAATAGAGGATAGAGTAGAAATAGCGATCCGAATAGTAATAGAGGATGGAGTAGAAATGGCGATCCGAATAATAATAGAGGATAGAGTAGAAATGGCGATCCGAATAGTAATAGAGGATAGAGTAGAAATGGCGATCCGAATAGTAATTGAGGATAGAGTAGAAATGGCGATCTGAATAGTAATAGAGGATAGAGTAGAAATGGCGATCCGAATAGTAATAGAGGATAGAGTAGAAATGGCGATCCGAATAGTAATAGAGGATAGAGTAGAAATGGCGATCCGAATAGTAATAGAGGATAGAGTAGAAATGGCGATCCGAATAGTAATTGAGGATAGAGTAGAAATGGCGATCTGAATAGTAATAGAGGATAGAGTAGAAATGGCGATCCGAATAGTAATAGAGGATAGAGTAGAAATGGCGATCTGAATAGTAATAGAGGATAGAGTAGAAATGGCGATCCGAATAGTAATAGAGGATAGAGTAGAAATGGCGATCTGAATAGTAATAGAGGATAGAGTAGAAATGGCGATCCGAATAGTAATAGAGGATAGAGTAGAAATAGAAATGGCGATCCGAATAGTAATAGAGGATGAGTAGAAATGGCGATCCGAATAGTAATAGAGGATAGAGTAGAAATGGCGATCCGAATAGTAATAGAGGATAGAGTAGAAATGGCGATCCGAATAGTAATTGAGGATAGAGTAGAAATGGCGATCTGAATAGTAATAGAGGATAGTAGAAATGGCGATCCGAATAGTAATAGAGGATAGAGTAGAAATGGCGATCCGAATAGTAATAGAGGATAGAGTAGAAATGGCGATCCGAATAGTAATTGAGGATAGAGTAGAAATGGCGAACTGAATAGTAATAGAGGATAGAGTAGAAATGGCGATCCGAATAGTAATAGAGGATAGAGTAGTAGAAATGGCGATCCGAATAGTAATAGAGGATAGAGTAGAAATGGCGATCCGAATAGTAATAGAGGATAGAGTAGAAATAGCGATCCGAATAGTAATAGAGGATAGAGTAGAAATGGCGATCCGAATAGTAATAGAGGATAGAGTAGAAATGGCGATCCGAATAGTAATTGAGGATAGAGTAGAAATGGCGATCTGAATAGTAATAGAGGATAGAGTAGAAATGGCGATCCGAATAGTAATAGAGGATAGAGTAGAAATGGCGATCCGAATAGTAATAGAGGATAGAGTAGAAATGGCGATCCGAATAGTAATAGAGGATAGAGTAGAAATAGCGATCCGAATAGTAATAGAGGATAGAGTAGAAATAGCGATCCGAATAGTAATAGAGGATAGAGTAGAAATGGCGATCCGAATAATAATAGAGGATAGAGTAGAAATGGCGATCCGAATAGTAATAGAGGATAGAGTAGAAATGGCGATCCGAATAGTAATTGAGGATAGAGTAGAAATGGCGATCCGAATAGTAATAGAGGATAGAGTAGAAATGGCGATCCGAATAGTAATTGAGGATAGAGTAGAAATGGCGAACTGAATAGTAATAGAGGATAGAGTAGAAATGGCGATCCGAATAGTAATAGAGGATAGAGTAGAAATGGCGATCCGAATAGTAATAGAGGATAGAGTAGAAATGGCGATCCGAATAGTAATTGAGGATAGAGTAGAAATGGCGATCCGAATAGTAATAGAGGATAGAGTAGAAATGGCGATCCGAATAATAATTGAGGATAGAGTAGAAATGGCGATCTGAATAGTAATAGAGGATAGAGTAGAAATGGCGATCCGAATAGTAATAGAGGATAGAGTAGAAATGGCGATCCGAATAGTAATAGAGGATAGAGTAGAAATAGCGATCCGAATAGTAATAGAGGATAGAGTAGAAATGGCGCTCGAATAATAATAGAGGATAGAGTAGAAATGGCGATCCGAATAGTAATAGAGGATAGAGTAGAAATGGCGATCCGAATAGTAATTGAGGATAGAGTAGAAATGGCGATCCGAATAGTAATAGAGATGGGATAGAGTAGAAATGGCGATCCGAATAGTAATAGAGGATAGAGTAGAAATGGCGATCCGAATAGTAATAGAGGATAGAGTAGAAATAGCGATCCGAATAGTAATAGAGGATAGAATAGAAATGGCGATATGAATAGTAATAGAGGATAGAGTAGAAATAGCGATCCGAATAGTAATAGAGGATAGAGTAGAAATAGCGATCCGAATAGTAATAGAGGATAGAGTAGAAATGGCGATCCGAATAGTAATAGAGGATAGAGTAGAAATGGCGATCCGAATAGTAATTGAGGATAGAGTAGAAATGGTTATCTGAATAGTAATAGAGGATAGAGTAGAAATGGCGATCCGAATAGTAATAGAGGATAGAGTAGAAATGGCGATCCGAATAGTAATAGAGGATAGAGTAGAAATAGCGATCCGAATAGTAATAGAGGATAGAGTAGAAATGGCGATCCGAATAATAATAGAGGATAGAGTAGAAATGGCGATCCGAATAGTAATAGAGGATAGAGTAGAAATGGCGATCCGAATAGTAATTGAGGATAGAGTAGAAATGGCGATCCGAATAGTAATAGAGGATAGAGTAGAAATGGCGATCCGAATAGTAATTGAGGATAGAGTAGAAATGGCGAACTGAATAGTAATAGAGGATAGAGTAGAAATGGCGATCCGAATAGTAATAGAGGATAGAGTAGAAATGGCGATCCGAATAGTAATAGAGGATAGAGTAGAAATGGCGATCCGAATAGTAATTGAGGATAGAGTAGAAATGGTTATCTGAATAGTAATAGAGGATAGAGTAGAAATGGCGATCCGAATAGTAATAGAGGATAGAGTAGAAATGGCGATCCGAATAGTAATAGAGGATAGAGTAGAAAAAGCGATCCGAAATAGTAATAGAGGATAGAGTAGAAATGGCGATCCGAATAATAATAGAGGATAGAGTAGAAATGGCGATCCGAATAGTAATAGAGGATAGAGTAGAAATGGCGATCCGAATAGTAATTGAGGATAGAGTAGAAATGGCGATCGAATAGTAATAGAGGATAGAGTAGAAATGGCGATCCGAATAGTAATTGAGGATAGAGTAGAAATGGCGAACTGAATAGTAATAGAGGA